ACTTGAGGGCAAATTTTGAAACTATTCAAAACTAATTAATTCCATAACTTGAGGACAAGTTATGGAAGACTTTAAACTAATAAAAGAATTAAATTTTCTTTATTTTTATAACTTATGGAATTAATTAAGGTTACATTATTTTTTTATTTTTTATTTAATGAAGAGACTCTTGGTCCTCCATAACTTGAGGACAAATTATGGAGTCATAACTCCAATTAATTAGAACTAGACTCTTCATTTTTGTAACCTTTGCCAACTTTTATGAGTTTTATGAAACTTAAATGTGACTTTTCATATAACTTGAGGACAAGTTACAAAAACACATTTTAGAATCAACTCTTAGATTAATTTGGATTGAAAACAACTATTTCATTCAACTTTTCTATTAATCTAAGCAACTCATAAGAACAAGATAATTCAAATCAAACTTTTTCATGTAATTAGTCTAAACCTTAAACTAATACAAAACATGAATCTATTGACAATTATCTTTGAAAATGGATTAGCATGAACATTACCACATAAAAAACAAGTTTATAAGTTCAAAAACAACTTAGGGTAATGTTCCTAGTCCATTTCTAGCCAAAAAAGTCGAATTTATGCTGTCTGGGGGTCCAACTCGTCGAGTGCACTAACCAACTCGGCGAGTTGGATGCTTTTTGCCTTGGACTCGTCGAGTCCCTTCATGGACTCGGCGAGTCTGCTGGGTAGACACAACAAAACTCGATTTTTCAGCTTCTATTGCAAGTATAACAAGAAAACAAGCCTAGGCTCTGATACCACTGTTGGGTTATGAGCATTCTAACACTCCTAAGTGTACATGCAACCCTAAATACCTTGGATCTATGTTTTCTCTATTATACATGCAAATATCAACTTTCCAAGGTATTGTTCTATTCTAGCATACTAAAATTGAATAACACAAGTTAGAATAACATACCTTTTGTTATGCTTGTCTTCATGAAGCTTGAGTGCCTAGTGCCCCAAGTGTGACACCTCAAATGGTTCACACAACACCAAAACACTTGGAATAACTTAGAGAATTCTACACTTCATGAAATCGGCTAGCCCTCTCTAGAATCATACTAGTGCCGATTTTGTCAAGAATAATATCTTTATATAGTGTTACAATTAGGGCAAACCCTAATTGTCATGACTTTCCATTTCCTTGGATCCATGGGTTCAAATACACCATGGAGCATCCATGGAGCATCATATGGGTTTTGGCCCAACTAGATAATGCATGGAGCATTAGCCTACTATACAAGTATGGATGATTTACACAATCAACCCATATATTTAATTAGTCTTCTTTTGATCACTTAATTAATCCTAGATTAATTCTTGATCAATACTAGTTAAATAATCTTATTATTCTTATTATTAATATACTAGAACTTATAATATATTAATAACCATAAGTGTCTTATTTCTCTCATTATAGTCTATCCAAGTGCATGATGCCATGCAACCCAAATGGACCATGCCGGGTCGGGTCAAGTCTTACCAATTATAGTTATGGACTTAGACATTAATCCAACAGGTTTCACCTCCAGCTCCGCCAACGTTTACTTGTGCCATTGATGTGGTCACGGAGGTGGTAACTGCTGCCTCGAACATGACAGGGTCGAACTGAGGAGGTGGTGGTGGTGTCGGAGTGTCGTTGTTCCTTCTGATGGGTCTTGTTCGGGGAGGCATCTTGTTCTAAAAACAATCAGGAAGAAGAGGATGGTAAGTCCTCGAGATATATATAAAACAACAAAATATTTCTCATCCTGATAATGAAAGTACTCTACTGAGTGATACTCATAGAAAGGTTACTAACACAAGTAAGTTATCGCTTAAGGACGGAGAAGTAGCAATACTTAGAGTGAATCTGCATACTAAGTTTAGCTCTAGCGAAAATACTCCTGTAGTATTTTATGTGAGATGATTCTTGTAAGTTTTAGGCCTGCTGTAGCACCACAGTCACCCCCAAACACATGTTGGTCATGTCTGGGCTGAATATAGTTGATTAGGCTATATTCACCCTACACATGATTACATAACTGCCCAGGGTTAACCGCAACGTTCCAGCATCCAAATACTTTTGTTCTGCTCTACTAGTGATACGAATCTTGTTATGTATGCATGCCCGTATACTTCTTATAAAAATACTTATATTTTGAAAGTATACTTTTAGCATAGAGCACTTAGGCCCCTTAGTGTTTATAGTTGTATACCACGTAAGGTTCGGTATACTAGGTTGCAATAAACATGGAATCTGATACCAATCTGTCACACCCTGAAACTGATGGCGGAAATATTCCGGGGCAGAGGATGTCATGTATAGCATCAAACCAATGAATAACAACAATAACAGCAACACAACGATTACAATGAATACTTAAGTAAAAACGTTTACATCTGTTTTGAAACTTAGTTTGAATTACATCCAATAGTTTTGCATTGTAAAAACTTAAAAACTCTTAATGCTTCAGTTCCTCAAAAATCCAGCAAGTACATGTCTACGGATTTCCTAAGAATACAAGCATTTTGAAAAAAAAAAAAATATTAGCATAAAGCTTGTTAGTTCATAAGCAGTAATTTGTAATGAAAACTTGTTGATGAGTGAGCCGAAATGTTTGTGTGGTCTCAAGAAAATCCGATATTTTATTTAGTGAAAAACGTAGCGTTATTGATTTCGTATAAAACCATAAATGTTCGTTTCTGAAAAACCGTAGTGATATGCGAAAATACTACCTTATGTGACTAGCTATAGCTAATCATGGAGTATAAGTATTTAATATGTAAAACCGTAGCATAAATGATTCGTTTTTGAAAAACCCGGGCTCGGCCAGTATGCATAGTGTGTTTAGTTCTATTTGGTATAAATAAAACCGTTGAAGAAGTTGGGTTGGTAAACTAAAGGTGATTTATACATAATGTGAGTCGAATAACCATGCTTGGTATCACTAGTGACCTTTCCAACGTTCCCGCCTAACTGTACATCTCAGGCGTGCCCGCCTAACTGTAGCTAGTAGTCCAGATGTGGGATTGTCAGTCCCGAATAGATCTATTCACAAATCTCACACTCTCCCTCCACTAGGAGACTCTGTTTATATAGTGGTAGGATTTATCCTTGTACAACTAAGGGTACAGTAGTGAAGTAGCACCTCACAATATCGTACAATCTAGTTTACATGTAGTGCAGTAGCGTTCTACCGTAGTGAAAAATCCGTAGGTATAACGTATCTAGTGATATTTACAGTTATGAAAGTCACGATAAAGCAGTGATGTAAACTGCAAACGGTTTTTGTACCAGTGCATATGTTTAGTAGTGAAAGTTTCTATGCTTGATAAGTTTTAGAGAAATCCCAAACTATACCAATTATAGTTTTCATGTATAACGTAGCGAAAAACGTGTCCAGAAAAACAATGCAATTTTTGTGAAAACGTCCCTTATGTTCAGCATAATGCAAAAGGGATTTAAAGTATGAGATTTGCATAAGTTTTATGTATATTCAAGAAAATGTTTATATTGAGCTTGTATTCCCCCCGTAAAAACATTAAAAAAATATGCGGAAAAATGTAGGGGTATGAATTCACAGCTGTTGCGTGGGGTTGTTGACTGAAAAGAAGATTCCTGAGTTGTTGCACGCGACACTTAAACAAATCCTATTATCAAATAAATACGTATATGTATCTAAATTAGCGATTTCGATAAATAAAGTTTCGGAAAACACTAGAATTTGGTTGAGGAATGTTACCGAGACTTGCTTGAATCGAGGAAATGGGTTTTCAGCCAAAAGTACCACCGAAAAGGTGTTTACGGCCGTGAGCAAGAGTTTACGGTTTCTGAAGACTTGGCGAGTTTACGGTTTCTGAAGACTTGACAAGTTTATGGCTATAAAGTCAAGAACAGAGTTTTCGGTCTTTGAAGGTTGGACCGTAAACTCAAGAACAGGGTTTACGGTTCTTGAAGGTTGGACTGTAAACTCGGAAGAATGATGTTTGGATGATGATTTTGACAAGATGAGTGTTTCCAGACGTTCCAAAGAGCTCCAAACGTGGTTTTCTCGATGTTTTCCGGATTTTGAATGCGCTTTGAGTGTTTACGGTTGAGATTCTTAGAGAGACGATGAGAGAGTGTGGCCAGAAATGTCCTAATGAAGTCGGAGGCATCATATTTATAAGGGTGAGGTGAGTGGTCCACTCGTCACTAACCGTAAACAGGTTTACGGTCGTATACGAGTTTTATGTCATAATCTCACTTCGACTATAAATGTTTGATTTTTTTTCCAGATTTTCGGGTTTCCGCGCGATTTTTGGTTCCGATTCATAAATAATTTAATTAAATATAACTAGGTTATTTTAATAAACCAAAGAGTTTGATGGAAAAGTTAACAAAATTGAATTTTTATTAACAGAATCGCATAACGGAAACGGGATAAGTTTCGGGTTGTAACAAAAATACAGCTGATTGAAGTCTTTATTCTCTATCTCATAACTCTTATTTGATATTTTATGAAATCATACATCTCACCAAATGAAAGAATCTGTTTAATTGTCTCATAGCAGTACAACTTGGTTGGATCTCCTTTCTCAAGACCTGGAGGATCACCTTGCCTTTGCCTTAAAATGTTGTTGATCTGTCTTTTTTTTTTTCAATTTCGTTTTCTATATTATTCTTTTTCTCTTCTTCCGAAATATCCCTCACAATCCCCTTCCCTCTATCACCCTTATATTAAGTAGAAAGTGGTGGCTTCAAACTCGAACGTCCAGCAGTTGAACCAATGACTATTCCTTTGGTCAATGGCTTTGAAGTCACTGTGGTTTAGATTGTTGACATAGAATTAGGAAGAGTAGTTGAAATTTGTGTGCTTATTACCTTCCTAACCACCTTTCCTTGACCAAGATCATTTAATGAACCAACCCCCTTTTCTCCCTCTTGCAACCCTGTTTTAAAAGGTGAGGTGTCTGTTGGCATCAAATTCACCAGCTTTAGAAGAGGAGCAAGTTTATTCCAAAGAAGAAAACATCTGAGATAAAGACTCCTGAGAAGGAGGTGATTCGGGAGATGAATAAAGCTTTAAAATGGACTCCTTCAATCTTGCCAAAAAGTCTTCCGTCTTGGTGAACACTTGCGGATCCTTTATTGAGAAGGCAGTAAAATTCTCAACAAGCTTTCGAATTTCCTCTGAAAAAACATTTAGTTTTGTTTGAAGTGATAGATGACATTGTTCAACTTTAGTAACCTCCTTCAACAGTTCTGACTTGAGGGACTCCACCTTTAAATTAATATATTCTTGAACCTTCTTGACCTCTTCGAAAAACAGAATATGTTGTTCTTCGGCTACTTCACGAAGCTGTTTAAATTCACTTTGAAAATTCTCAACATGATGCTTTACACGCTCTTCGTATTTCGATTCTATCTGTTCAATAACAACCTTCAACCTATGCTCTTGAGATCTCAATAGAACATCAACCTCAATTCCAGACACTGTATTGCGACTCCGTGTGTTAGCCTTGATATATCGCAAAAAATTCAACTTCTGGTTCAAGATTTTGAACTGCTTTCCTGACATGAGCATGTGATCAGGAATATTCTCCTCTTCATGGTCAAATTGAATGTCAGCAAACGAGAACATGACATCATCTTCATCTTGTTCAAACTCAGGAATTGATTTTTCACCTCTAGTTGATTAAGATGGGAAAAAGGAAGTAACAGGTTAATTCAAGATATTGTCGTAGGTAGGTCAAAAAGTGGAAGCATGTAACAAAGTGGTAGTGGGTGTATGAAAGGGTGGTCATGAAGTAGAAGTGTCAATAAGAGTTGTTTCGATGGTAGATGAAAGAACAAGTGAAATAGGAACAAAAGATGTTGTAATAGGAGGTTTGCCTTGAGCTTTGAATGTTGACATCCCATCACCCTTGTTGACATTTGTGTCCATATTAGATATGTTCACAGGAATGCCTGAAGTTTGAACCTCCTCCAAAACAGATTCAACCATCAAAACTTCGGGTGGTATGACAATAGTGTGCTCAGGGATGGAAATGGTTGAATGATCACCCAATGGAGGGGTTGTGTCTGTAGTATATACTTTCACAGAGCCACCAGAACTTCCAGTTGGCTTGAAAGTCAACTTGACAGGAGAGTCCCTATGAGGTGATGCGAAGCAAATGTCTTTATTGCGAATAGGATGTAGAGTAGCATTATCTTCGAAGTCGGTCTCTTGTACAGCCTCATCCAGAGGATCTTTCAATTGCTTCTTCTTCTTTTTGATTTTCTTAACCATGGCATGTGCTCTTCGTTTCTTTGAAGCAGGAGACACAAGAGCAGTAATTTCTCTGATGATAACACCCCTTCGATTGAGTTGGGGTTTGTGAATCTTCGTGATCTTCGACACATAATCCTCCTTAAGTGAAGAAAGAGACTTCTTAGGAAATTATTCGATAATAGTTCACCTTTTTGGTGAATGACAAGGTCTGTGGGCTAACTTCTTCATTCATTTAAGGACACCTATTCTCAAAGGCACTACTTCTTTTTGAATTTCTTGAACAACTGGGTCTTATAATGGCTTCGTGATGTCCTTCTCCACTGTCTCAGGTACTGATTTAGGTTGTGCAACCTTAGTGGATTTCTTGGAGCATTTACCATGTTTCGAAGTCCCTTCAATTCGTTTAGGAAACAAAACCCCTCTTTGTACATTAGGTTTGATTGTTGAAATTTAAGCAACAAGAACAGGGTTCATTGAATCTACCTTTCGAAGCATGACATCCATAATTCTTGGAACAAAAGGAAAAATCTCTGAGTCATCTTCAATGATCTTTGGATGTCGATAGATGGTGAACTTCGCATTTGGAACATTAGATGGAATAAGAATGTCTTCTTTCTCATAGACATCTTGAAGAATTAAACTCCTGTATCTTGCACACAAAACACCATTGGCAACATTGGTATGTGAGATACAAGTTCCAAACTCCTTCCATAACTATGAAACATAGTCCATATTTAAGTCATAATATAACCCACAAATCAGGGCATAGATCTCCAACTTAGCTTTGTCAAGACCAACACTTCAACCTTTGAGACATCGAAGAAAATTTCCAATGAGAATATTCCATGATTCCAATTCCATCGAAGGAAACGATTCCAATTCCATCTAAGGAAAATTCCAATAAGAAAATTCCAAGAAAAATTCCAAATCCATCGAAGGAAAAGATGAGTTCTTGAACTGATTGATTCCAGTGAGTGGAGGTTGATGACCCATCTTGTTGAACATATGGATCACCTGTTCATTGGTTACCTCATAAAACGGACTAGTGTTGGGACGTTTCATGATCTGGGTAAAGTGTTTCTTTGTGAGCTTGTAATTTTTCTCATTCGTAAGTTTGAATGTTACAAATTTGGAGGTTTTGTTGAAGACAACAATGGAACCAGCCAAAGATAACCAGGTCATTGTCACTGCAAAGAAGAAGTCATGACCATTGAAAGCACAGAGTGATTAAGAGCCACAATCAACATTTGTACCCCTTCTGGGTACTTTGAAACATCTGGTTGAACTCGATAATTTGAACTCTAGATCTTCAATAAGGGTTGAGATGTTGCTTTATCAGTGGTTTGGGATGGATCAACATGAACAATTGTTGCCTCCATTGTTAGGGTTTTGGATATTTGTGTGAGGCGATATGTATAATGAAAGAAGATTTTGGGTAAAATATTCCACCAGGCTACATAAAGTTTTGATTTGATACCCCCAATTCCCTTTTATAATTAGTACACAATTTGAATTTGAAACGATTATCAATGAAATCATGCCACATTTATCATAGGATAATGGATCAGTTGCCAGTCTAAAAAGTAATCAAAATTTTTTCCTTGAAAACGGTGAAGCAACAAAACCGTCACATCAATCAACTATTTAGTTTGGCTCAAGAGGATAAGAAATGTCATTGAACCTTCATTTCGAGGCAAGGCTCATTCGCTTTTGGGATGAGAACTGAAATCATAGCTAGACTTTCGAAATCCAGGTTTGAGTTGGTAGTACCCAAGACCTCAAGGTTGTCTTATGCAAATGTGTAACAAAGACATAGTGAGAACCAATGGTAAAAAAAATATTTGCGAATACTGACATCAAAAAAATATTCTATGTAAAAGCAGATGGATCCCATACAAAGATCACTTCATTAAATATCAAGATAGATATTAAACTGCTTGTGTGGTATCCCATGAAATACAATCGAATATTCATAAAGGAATATCAAAGGGCTTCTTTTATATAGGCTTCATAGGTAGGCTCAATTTTGTTGATGATCACAACTTAACATAAGTGTGAATTTAATGATCAAAATTACCTATATGACCAATGTAGTCAGTGACAAGAAAAGGTGAGATAAAAGTGTAAAGTGACAAGAATACTAACAACTATTCAACTGGAAACCATATTCCAAAAAAAAAAGAACTGGATCCTCTTGGGAAAAAGTGTCTTGGTTAAAGAACATTTTATCAAGATCACACAAACTGAGAGGAATACAATTTTGAATATTGAAGAAAGGTACTGAAACAAATGTTTCGTGATAATCTTCAAGATAAAGTTCACCATCAATTCCTTCATAATTTGGAAGTATTGGGTTTCACTATCATCATGGACTCATGAATCAAGATCATTAATACAGACTTGTGCAGTATCTACATTCTGATCGGTTTATGCCATAGATCTCGAGGATTTACAAGTGATCTGTGTGAATCATGAAGAATTAAGTTGATGAAAAAGATTGGTTAAGAAACATAGTATACCTCTACGAATGATGAGGACTAAGCAGAAATCTCTTAACTCGAAATGAGAAGAGAAAGGTAGCTCATCGACTAATGTGAATATAGCCTAATTGGGAAGGAACCCTCATAGTGAGTGATCCATTAAGGCTTCAAAACACACTGATTCTATGAGGCTTAGGTTGACATACAACTGCATGGTTCTGGGGACACTTAACTAGTACAAAGATTCTGAATAATACCTGTCCCTTCTTTGCAAAGCAATATCTACCAAAATATGTCGATTGAGAACTACACAGAAAATCATTAAACACACAAAACAAAAAAAAATATTTTTGGATTTTTGTTTTTGAAATGAAAAATACAGAAATAAGATAATCTTTTTGGAATTTTTTTTGAAATTTCAAGACAAAAGAACAAATATTTTTGGAGTTTTAGGGTTTTTGAAAATTGAAAATAAAAGAAATAAAATCTTTTTGGTAATTTTGATTTATAAAAAAAAAGTAAATGTCACTAGATAATCGAAGTGAAGAGTATCAAAATTTAGACATTGGACTTCGAAATAGAAAGTCTGATTAGACAAAAAAAAGTATGTTCGAAACCATTCAGAGAAATGTCGAAAACAAAGCACGTCAAACGTTGAATAGTGAACAGTAACTTCTGAATCATTTAGCAATGTTTTGACTCCTCGTTATTTCACAATGAAGTTAAACTTGGAACAACGATTACATCAAGCATTCCTAATCCAGACAAGAGCCTTAGAAAATACTTCTCATCCAAAGTTTTTGTAAAGATGTCAGCAAGTTGATCCATCGTTTTCACTAAGTAAACCTCAATATTTCCATCCTCAACATGATCTTTGATAAAATGATAGCGAAGTGCTATATGCTTGAATTTCGAATGTTGCACCGAATTATGGCAGATACGTATTGCACTTTGTGAATTGCAATAAAAAGGTATATTTTTTCATGTTGATTTCATAATCAAGAAGTTGATTTTGTATCCATATGACTTGAGAAGTGCAAGCTGAACAACAATATATTCTACTTCTGCTGTGGAAATCGAAACACAAGGTTGTTTCTCCGATTGCCAGTTAACAAGATTCTCGTACAAAAGTTGATATCCATCACTAGTGTTTTTCTTCCATGTTGACATCCACCAAGATATGCATCGGGAAATTCCTAAATGAAGATTCATGTCTTCAAAGGGTACCATAAACCCAACGACACCATCCCTTTGAGATATTGAAAAATATTCTTTACAGCTATTATATGGGGTTCCTTGGGATTCGACTGATACCTGGAACAATTGCAAAGAGAGAACATAATGTCAGGTCTACTAGCAGTTAAGTATAGTAACGAACCAATCATGCTCCTATACAATATAATATCGACATCAGACTTATCCAATGAAAGCCCAAAGCGTGTGCCGACAACCATAGGCACTCACAATTTTGAACTATTCATTATTCCAAAACTTCTCAAGCATATTACAAGAACACTTCTCTTAATTTATGAAAATTTCATCTATGTTTTGATGAATATTCAATCCTAGAAATTTATTGATCTTACCCATCATACTCCATCTCGAATTGACTTTTCATCGTATGTTCAAATTTACTAGATAATAAAGAGTCAATCGAACCAAAAATAATATCATCTACATAAATTTGAACAAGCATCAAGTGATCCCCCACTTTCTTTCGAAATAGAGTAGGATCAACAAATCCTTGTTTAAATTTCAAGAATTTCAATAAATTGGTAAGAGTTGCTTACCAGACTTGAAGTGCCTGTTTTAATCCATAAATAGCTTTTTTTGAGAACACATCAATGATCAGGGTATTTATCATTTACATCCATCTGATAAACATCGAAATTTTTTTTATGTTGTATAAGCAAGAAATATTCAAAGAGCCTTGAGTCTCGAGACAAGAGCAAATGTTTCATCATAGTCGATACCTTCTTGTTGTGAATATCCCTTGACAACCAACCTAACTTTGTTTTGAACCACATTTCCTTCTTTGTTTGTTTTATTTTTAAAAATCCATTTTAAGCCTATAACTGATACACAATCAGGTTTTGGAACTAGTCACTAAACCTTGTTTCTTTCAAATTCAGTAAGTTCAGATTGCATGGAAACAATCCAATCAGGAACTCCCAAGGCAGCCTTGACTGATTTAGGTCTAATTTTGGAGATCAAAACATTAAACATGCAAAATTCTTGATTTCGGTCTACTTTTGAGATCACCAAGGACTTGTTCTTTATGATAATTTCGAGTCCATGTTCCCCCTCGACATCTTCGTGAGAATTCAAGTGCTCCCCCTCCACTTGATCATCCTGAAACATCGTTTGACTTTCAACATGAATTAGGGAGTTTGTTCTTGAATGTGAAACAAAATCTTCAAGAGTAATTGTCGAATCATCTGAATGTTTCGATGCTTCAGTAATTTGATTATCATCAACATGAATTTATGCATCTGTAGCCCTATTAGGAATACAAAAAATTAATTCATAATCAAAATTGAAAGAATCGGCAATATTAGACTCATCATTTGTATCTGTGAGGTTTGGGTTTTGTTCAAAAGTCTTTCCGACACGCTTAACATAGTAATCATCAAAAGTTATATTGAAATTCTCTTGAATCTTTTTCTTCGCTTATTCAACACCCGATATGCGACATAGTTGATTGAATATCCCAAGAATATCCCATCATTAGCTTTGGACTGAAATTTTGAAAGGTTATCTTTGAGATTTATGATAAATCATCTACAACCAAAAGCATGGAAAAATTTTAAATTTTGTTTTTGATTGTTAATTATTTCATAAGGTGTGATATTAAAGCGATAATGAATAAATGATCGGTTTTGAGTGAAACATGTTGTCCAAACTGCTTTTGCCCAGAGATATTGTGGTAAATTCGCATAGGTCAGCATAGTTGTAGCTGCTTCGCAAAGAGATATGTCTCTCCTTTCGGAAACACCATTTTGTTGAGGTGTGTAAGTAGATGAAAAATTATTTGCAATCCCTAGATCACTAAAAAACGAATCAAGAACATGATTTTTTAATTCTGAGCCAATATCACTTTTGATCTTCCTGACATTCTTTCTCAAACCGAGTTCAATGTGCTTGATGAAATCGATGATCACTTGAATAGTTTCATACTTCTGATGAATAAAGAAAACCCAAGTAAACCGTGAAAAATCATCGACAATGACCAAGATGTACCTTTTCTTTTGAGAATCTCAACAGTCGAAGGTCCACAAAGGTCAATGTGAAGAAGTTCCAAAGGTTCGATGATCTTTGAATCGATGACTATTGGATGACCTTGATGGTGTTGCTTCCCCTGTTCGCATGCTGCACATAATAAATCATTATCAAATTTTAAATGGGTAAGTCTCGAAGAAGATCATTTACCACTAATTTATTTTGATTTTTGAAATTCAGATGCGATAGTCTTTGATGCCATAGCCAACTCAAATCAGATGATGCCTTCGAAAGAAAGCAAACATATGGTACACCAACGACTGACTTGATGTCAAGAGTGAACATATCACCTTTCCTCTTGGATTTTAGCAACACTTCCTTGGTTTCCTTGTTAGAAATGACACTACCTTCCTCATTTAAGACTACTTGATGAGACTAAAAGTCTTTAAGATCGATTAGATTCTTAACAAGCAACTCAAAAACATGAAGTAAATAAGAACACATATAAAATCAAACAGACGTCGAATGATTAAAAAGCCACAACCTCAGAAGAACTCTATGAAGACTTGCTACTGTCGAGGTGTGGTAGGGTTACAATATTGTTTTGAATTATCAATTCAACAGTTAACTTAATACGGTGCATGCATGCACCGTATATATAATAACCCTAATAATAAATGACTGGACGGGCCTAAAACTGTATAATGGACTTATACAAACAGGCCCAATGACCCAATCTAATTATCCCCAACAATCTCCCACTTTGTGTCATTTGCGGCAAGAGATCTTCACTCTTGTGTCTTCTTGACAGTCTTGAAGAGTTTGGGAAACACAACAAGAAAAGTCCTGCGAAACTGGATGTACCAGCGAATCATGTCATTAAAGTGCCTCTTTGCAGCATCATCATTCAGGTTGCACTTCTTGATAATTTCCAAGACATGTTCCATACAAGATGTAGAGAAGAGGTAGAGAAAAAAAAACATTTTTGAAATGTTCCAACAAATTTGGTCTGTTGCTGAAACATCACCGTCAAATGAGCCATATCAAAATTTCCCAAAGTCATTTCGCTCATATCGCTGGCTTTGGCGATTGGATTAATAATAGGCTTTTTCTTCATAATGTTCGCTATCTAAATTTCGAGTTACGTTGCTTTATAAATGTACGAAACCAACATTCTCTTCAGATGAGCAATGACTGGTTCATATTTCTGTTCTTCGATCAACAGCAAGATTTATTAACGCAATCCAGTCATGAGGATTAATGTTCGAAAGATCAGCAAGAGAAAACTCATGTAGAGAATTGTCCGAACCCCTCGTTACCTTGCATTTGACGTTCACGAAACCGCCAGCTGGAATGGGTTCGATGACTTTGACTGTTGTGATCTTCTGGGCACTCCATGTTAAATATTGAGGTTTAGCGAAGGTAAGATAAACAACGGATGTGTCTACTTTGGCATCAGGAGAAGGAACTTCGGCTATTTTATCAAAGCAGTGGAACATGAAGGCTCTCATTGTAATTAGCATATCAAACTGGGAGTCCTTGGTATTAACCAGATCGAAGGAGGCAATTGGTTCCAACCAGTGTACACTTGGCAGATTAACAGCTTCGTGCATTATTCTCTCTAATGTCCATGGAGGAAACAATAGTTTTCTGCATTCCAATGCGTCATGAGCTTCTTTTTCCTTTCGCTCTTTCTCTCAAGCTTCCTTTGTTATGTGAGCATTTACATTGAGTACATGATCATGAGCCTTTCTTTTTAATTATTCTTCCTCAGAATCATCATCTTCATCATAATCGCGCATTGGTGTCTTCCCTTTATCAGTCGTTGTTTTCTCCTTTTTTTCTCTCCCCCTTGTTCTAGAAGGACAAGGACCTCTGGAACACCCTTGTTCTGTTTAACATAGCAATTTCAGGGCGAAGCTTGTTATCAAGATACCGTCTGATGGTGATTGTCATAATTGGGCCATGAGCTTCAAGGAGGCTGGATAACAGTGAGTTAACATAACTCACAAGGATTATTATACCAATTCACTTAGATTTGAGCTCTTCTATCTCCTGCTGTGCATGCTTTAGCTTAACGGATTGAGTCTTGAGTTGAGTTGTATGAATGGGAAGTTGGCCCATAATTTTTCTTTCAACTACTAGGGCTTCTTGAAATTTAGAAATCCTTGAAGAGATAGACTCTTTAAATGCAGAGTTTAGCAGAAATATCAGCCTAAAGCTGTGCAATGAACTCTTCTTCTTTTTGCAGTGAAGCATTGAGATGGATGATGGCATCATTCATGGTAGCAGCGTTGTTTCCAGCAGCTATGTGAATCTCGGTTAGACACACTTTTTTTTTTCAGAGACTATAGTATCACTTTTTCGGTCATTTATAGACAAGATTGAGTAGAATTCTCAACTGCTTTGTTGGCTTTGTCAAAATTAGCAGCATGTTCCTTAACAAGAGTGTCAAGCATACCCTTGACAGTGGCTTCAGAGTAAGCTTTGCTGGAAGAAATAGTGGAAGAAGCAAGAATAGAATCCATTTTCTTGTTCAGGGCCTTCAAGTCCTTCTGAGTAATAGGAGCATCTTTGTCACTATCATCTTGAATAGAGAAAGGATTGTACTGAAATGTTTCGAAATCAAAGTCTTCTTCCCCAAGAACATCTTCGGAACCATGCTGTTGAGGAGAAACTAGAGATGTAGTAGATGTGGTGAATCTTGATGTCTTTGCCGCTGCATAAGATGTGTTGACATTAACAAAAGGTCTGACTGAGGTAGTGGTAGACGTGGTTGTAGCTGTTGCGGTGAAAAGTGGTGGTGGTAAAGGTGTAGAAGGGGGTGGTTGAGATGAAATAGGAGGTGGGAAACGAGCAATAAAAATAGGATCAATAGTGTGTTTAGGATAAGGAGGTGGAGATGGAACAACTTCAATAAAGATTACATCAGGTGAGTATTCACAACCCATATCCTCAGACTCGTTGTGATCCTTTTTGTGTTAAACCTGATCGTCCTAATCCGAGGGAATGTAGTCGCTATCGCTTGATGACAGAGCTTTCGGCTTGAGAGTCGTCTTTCTCAGCTTTCGTTTTTTAGGACCCGAAGGTTTGGTTGTTTGAACCTTTCACTTCTTAGGCGTGACAGGTTTAGATGAAGGTCCCTCTTTTATCCCTTTTCTTTGACTTCTCAGCCTTATCGATGGAGTTTTGCATTTCAGAAGTAAGGGGCCTTGGACCCGAAGCTAGAAGTTTCTTGTATTCATTTATAATTTTGCTTGCATCTGAAACACACCTATACATAGACTCAGGAATTGACCTGATAAAAGAGAACTTTGAAGAGTCTGAAATGATGATCTTTGTGGTGTGGAAAGTAGCAATAGCAGACATTAAAGAATCTGACATAACAGGAACTCGAAATTTCTCCATCGTCCTTTGAGTAATGATGGTCCAGAATATCCCACATGAAATCTGAGGGTGACGAGAAGAAGAATTCAAACATTAAACCAAATGATTCCAGAGATTTGATCCATAATCAAGATTGATGCCATGATATATACCATAAAGAATGGTCATGAAAGCTTTGCTATCACCATCAGATCCAACAACTAGTTCAGAAAAGCTCTTGAAGAGAAGGGTAAACAACCCATTCCATTAAAGAGGAAGGAAATATTTCTTGACCTTTGTGATAGTAGAGACAAGATCAGTATATCCTATGTTGTAGAATATTTCGAAGAGATGAGCTGTAGAAATCGAGTCAAGATTCACCATGGACTCTGTATAAGGTAACCCTAACATATAGCAAAACCTAATTTTGGATACGGAAGTTTTCTTATCGAAAATCTCGAATATAATACGTTCCTCATCCTTAAAATACTTCACCGAAGAGTAAACCTGAGATATAAGTGAAATAGGAACAATATCTGCTTTGGTTAAAGCGATTACCAGTGGTGAGTATTTCAGACATTCAACAATCTGGAGCATGAATACATCATACTTGAAATGCATCAAGTCGATGATTAGGTTCTGGTTCGGTTTGATTGTGAGTAGAGTGGATTGAGCAGTGTGTTCTTGAAGTGAAGACGATTTTGCCATTGCTGAAGCTTGGTGAAAAAGATGAACAATAGAGAGTTTCTACCGTTTGAATGCTCGAGAGTGTTTTTAAGTGGTGAAGAAGAAAAGGAATTATGAGAAATCATTTTATACATATACCAAGAGAGAGAAAATTGGTAATTATGACATGTGTGAGATTTTCTGGAACAACGCCTGATTTGACAATTGTTACCGTCGAAAAAGCATGGCAGGCGGTGTGATGGTAGGTGACGTTTCATTGGTCAGACGCCTTTATTCAAAACTTATCTTTTTACCGGCTCTTCACGTTATCTTAACAGTTTAAATTCCATTCAAAGAGACAAATCTGTCTTTCACTACATAGTCCAAAAAATAGACTAAGTTACATTCGCTTCAATACATAAAAGAACATCATTAAACTAGCAGGGAAACTGAGAATGCCCTAAGTGCCATGTACAAGACTTTTGGAAAATCAAGAGATTCTCGTGCCAGAGTGTGAGAAGAGTAAGGTAGCTCATGACTTAAGTGAATTTAGCAGCCTAATTAGGAAGAATCGATTGGTGTATATCGATCCATTAAGGCTTCACTTTAGAGTTAAATGAGGCTTTGGGCAAGATACATCAACATGCTTCTAGGGACAGTTAGCTAGTTTATGGATTAAGTGTTTATACCTTCCTCATGATGCATTGTTGACACAAACAGAAAATCCATAATCATTTAGATTAAACAAACAAGTGAGAATATTTTTGCATTTTTGAAATTGCTGAAAAAGAAATAAAAACAGAAAGGAAAAATATTTTTGTATTTTATTTTTTTATGAAAAAGAAATAAAAACAGAATGGGAAAATATTTGTACAAAAAGTATACACAAAGTTTCAACCGAACGTTCACCTTTTGATGGATGAAGCGAATTATACCGAGCGTTCGGTACAATTCGGTTCCCAGAAAAATTAGTTTTGAAATAGGCCGAGCGTTTGTTCTATTTTGCTTGCTTAAATTCTAATGAGGCGAAAGTGAAAAGTATACTTATGGAAGTGAAGGTGATTTTGGTATGGATTCGGCTTCCATCATTCCTAGGACTTGGAGTATTCTATTGAAGGTTGCTTCTCACAAGGCTTTCGTGAATATGTTAGCCAATTGATCAGCGATACGCACGAAGTGAATTTCAATGTTACCATTTTCCACATGATCCTTGATGAAGTGGTATCTCAGTGCAATGTGTTTTGTCTTTGAGTGATGCACTTGGTTGTGACATATTCGGATAGCGCTTTCAGAGTCACAATAAAGTGCGATTCGCTTCATGTTTAGGCCATAGTCTCTTAACTGACTTTGAATCCAAAAGACTTGTGAAGCACAAGATGCAGCAGCTATATATACAGCTTCGGCTGTGGACAAAGATACACATGTTTATTTCTTGGACTGCTAGCTGACGAGTTTACCATCCAGAAATTCACACCTGCCTATGGTACTTTTCTTATCTCGACCATATCTTCCAAGATCAGCATCTGAGAATACTTGTACAAAGAATCCCGATTTCATTGGATACCATATGCCGAGAGATGAGGTTCGCTTAAGGTAACAAAAGATGTTCATAACTGCTACCATATGAGGTTCGCGTGGATAGGCTTGAAACTTGGCATAGTAATAAATAGAAAACATAATATATGGTCTACTAGATGTAAGATACATTAGTTATGCTATCATTTGTCGATAGAGTGTCATATCAACAACTAGTTATTCCAGAGATGGTGTTAGCTTCATTCTGAATGCCATTGGAACCTTCACTCTTGAGTCTCCCGTCATGCCAAACTTCGCCGCTAATGTCTTTGTGTAAGCCTCCTAATTGATGAAGATGCCTTCTGGTCCATGTCTTATGTCAAATCCAAGGAAAAAGTTAATTGGATCCATTGAGCTCATCTCAAATTTAGTCTCCATCAACATCCGGAATTTAGTGGTTAGGCTAGAATTTATGGAACCGAAGATGATGTCATCGACATAATTTTGGATGATCATTAAATGGTCACCATCTTTCTTGCGAAAGAAGGTTGGGACAACCAAACCTTGTTTAAACTTGGACATTTCAAGAAAATGAGTTAAAGTTTCATACCAGGATCTAGGAGCTTGTTTCAGACCATAAACATATTTGTCCAAAATATAGCAATGGTTGGGATACTTTTCATTCACAAAACTCGGTGGTTGCTCAACATATACCGTTTCTTCTAATTCTCCATTCAGGAAAGCACACTTGACATCCATTTGAAATATCTCGAAGTTTTTGTGTGATACATATGCTAGGAAGATTCGAACTGATTCTAACCATGCTACTGGAGTGAAAGTTTCTTCATAGTTAATCCCTTCTTCCTAACAATAGCCTTTCACCACCAGCCTGGCTTTGTTCCTTATGGCATTGCCTTCTTTATCCCTCTTGTTGCGAAACACCCATTTTAGACCGACCACAAATGCATCAAGTGGTGTGGGAATCAATCTCCAAACCTTGTTTTGTTTGGACTCATTGAGTTCGTCTTGCATTGCCTGAACCCAATCAGAGTGATCGAGTGCAATATTAACTATTTTTGGTTCTACTTTGGAGACAGAAGAATTATAGATTCAATATTCCACTTGAGAGAATAAAGTTGTTTGCTTCGCTTTCAGTTGAGATCGGGTAAGAACTCCCTCAGATGATTCACCAATAACTTGAGTATTTGGATGATCTTTTGTCTATTTTGTGAGTGGATGGTAGTTTGGATCATATGCAAGATCCAGTTCAGCATTGACTTCCTCTTTGAATTTTGATTGAACATTTGAATCATCATTTGTAATTTTATTCACCCCCTCACACGATAAGAAGGTTTCAACATCAAGTTCAGAATTCTCTCGCTGGAATGGACTTTCATGGGTCATGTTTGGAGATGGGTTCTCCCCCTGGACAGGCGAATATGGTTTATTTGCCATAAACGAACCCTCCCCTGCAATGAAGTGCTTTCTTTTGGTGGTTTGTTTGAGGTTAGAGGTCCACTTTCCATTTCTTTTGTGGCATCGTCGATTATCTTCTTTATTTCATCGACTTTATTATCTGCTGCTTTTGCTTCAGAGTTGATGGCCTTCTATGGCTCATCAAAAAGTAACATATATTCCTCATATAGATCAGCTATTGGGATTATGGCTAGACTTGGTTTTGGAAATATTTCCTGCATTTGACCTTCGCTTGATTGAGGTTTTTTCAGATAATTATCATCAAACGTGACATAATAGGTTTCTTCTATTTTATTGGATCGTTTTTTGAGAACCTTATATGCCTTGGAGGTCAATGAATAACCTAAAAAGATAGATTCGTCTACTTTCACATCGAACTTGTTTCGGTTTTCTTTATAATTAAAGATGAAACACCTGGAACTAAAGACATGGAAAAACTTGACGTTAGGTTTGTGATTATTTAAGATTTCATATGGAGTAAGAGTAAATCGCTTGTTCAATAGGGATCTATTCTGAGTGTAGCAAGCAGTGGCGATAGCATCAGCCCACAAATATCGAGGTAAGTAAGAGAAACTGACCATGGTTCGGGATGCTTCACACAAGGAACGATTTCGTCTTTCAACTATGCCATTCTGTTGTGGAGTATAGGGAGTAGAGGAGTTGTGAGTTACTCTCTTTTCAGATAAGAATTCTTCAAACTCATTGTTTTTTAATTCCAGTCTGTTATCGCTTCTGATGTTGCGAACCATCTTTCGCAACTGAACTTCGCTTGCTTTATAAAGATCTTAAGCTTTGGAGTAGCCTCTGATTTCTATTTAACAAAGTACATCGAAGTAAAACGTGAAAAATCATCAACCATTAATAGTATATACTTACCACCACTAACACTTTCAATTGCAGAAGGGCCACAAAGGTCGATTGGTAGAAG